CATCCTCCCCACCGCGCGGGGCCTGCGGGCGGTGCCTCCCTTGAGCCGTTCCCTCCCGGCGCTCCCGGAGGCCATGGCCGGCCCTGGGCACGTGGCTCCGGTGGCACCGGGCCCCCGCTCTGCCGCTCCTCGTGGGCCACGGGGCGGGGCCGGCAGGGGGCGCCCCTTCCCGGGAGCGCGCGCCCCGCCCGGTGTCCGCACCCCGCCGCTGTCGCCATGGAGATCGGGACCGGGACGCGGGTGCGCGGGGTACGGGGCAGCCCCGGCCCGAAGGGGGTTCCCCGGCGGTTACGGGGGTCCCAATGGGACAAAGGAGCGGAGCGGGGGGCTCAGTTCATCCTCCCCTATAGGGCACAGGCAGGAGGACGCGCCATGGGGGCAGTGCAGATGGGGCTCACTAAAGGTGCCCGAGCGCCTGGGTGCTGCTGCCTCTCTGCCCTATGCACACCGCGAGGCCTCTCCATGGGGACAGGCAGAGCTGCGGGGCTCGGCCTCCTCAGGGCGTGGTGCTTTTCCCTTGCGGAGCCTGCATGGAGGTGGATGCGCAGAGCCCAGCCCCGAGCATCATGGAAGAGGTGAGGAGAAGAGGGAGTCCCTTGCTCCCTGGGGTCCCTGACACCTCCTCGGTTGACACCATTCCCCACACGCGTGCAGCACTGTGCCTGTGAGCGCTGCACCTCAAACAGGCCTGGGGTTTGCTGCTCCAGGCTGGTAAAGGGGCACCTGGAAGCCCCAAAGGAGCAGTGGGTGTCGTTGTGGATCAGCTCCGAGAGGTCTCTGCTCACAAACCTCCTCTCTTTGTGCTGTTGGGCTTTTAGGATTACAGCAAAGAGCAGAAGGCAGCAGCAGACCTCCAAGGGTTGACTTGGCCACCGTTCACTGCTAAGAACAAGAAGAAGGGCAAGAAGAGCAAGCCAGGTTGAGAGACATTCCCTTGATTGTCTGCCCTGCTCCCCCTGCACGGAGCCACATCTGCATTTGCCCAGTGCTTTCTGCTGAAAGATGCTCAGCAAAAGCCACAGAGAGAAAATTACCCAAAGGGAAATGCTGAGAGCAAAGAGGGAGGAGTGGCAAAGGCCAGGGAGAGCTTTGCAGGCTCAGCTCCTGGGCTGTCACTGCCAGCAGCTTTTCCTGGGGCTACAGAAGGTTTGAGTTCAGCTCTTTACATTTCCCTCAGCCACCCACATGAGAGAGTAGCTGCAAGGCTGAAAGCGGGCATATCCTGGGCTGCATCCAAAGAGCGTGACCAGCAGGGCAAAGGAGGTGATCCTGCCCGTTGGTGGGTGAATTTGTAGGCACAGGTGATGAGTTACCCAAGCAATATGGGACACTGAGCTGGATCTCTTGAGTTCCTCAGCCCCGTTCCGTGATCAGCACAAGGTGATCTCAATGACACTGTTTGTAGGGCTGGAACCCACACCTCGCTTTCTCAAGGAGCGGCACATCTGGCACAGCATTGCGAGCCCAGCGGGGTTTGATACTGGTGCTTACTGGGGAGTTTCTTCAGCTGCTTTGCTTCTCTTCACCCACCCAGGAGATGATGCTGAACCAGCATGGCCTGGGGCTCATGATGATAAGCGACAACGTTCTGCAGCGTGAAATAGAGAGGCAAAGGGAGGTGTGAGCTGGTGCAGCAGAGCTGACACCCCCAGGGTTTGCCCTTCATGAGGCTTTCCTCGGCCCCACTGGGGTCTGTTGTCCTCCATGTACCCGGGAGCCAGTGGCCCATTAGGACATCCCAAGGACAAGTGGGCATTTCAGGCAGCTGTTGGAGGGTTATTGCATGAGGGATGTTTTCCAGCTCTGCTGTTTGCACAATCGCCATGACAATTCCTGCTCCTATTGCAAGGTAAAGAGCTCTTAGAAACGTCCTTCCTTCAGAGTACTCAGGACCTAGAGATTGAGGAGCTGAAGAGAAGCATGCAGACCCTCTGCCAGAACACATGAGACCCAAGAGAGCTGATCTTTGCTGACGTTCTTCTCCACAGACCCACGTAAGGCTGGTTATGGGTGTCAGAGCCCTCTCCTGTGGCTTGGGCTGCAGAGTCTCTGGCCCTGGGTGTTGATGACCCAGCCCCACCATTCCCACAGGCACCATTCCCACAGGGCACATCACATCTCTCTTCCGGGCTTCCCTTTGTGCAGCCTGCAAGGGCAGATACCAGGGGCTGCAGGCGGGGCGAATGAGGAGCAATGGAGCTTCTCCAGGCCCCCGTGCCCACACTGACTCCCACTCTGTTGGTTCCTCTCACTGAGGGAAGGCAGGCTCACAAGGAGCTTCCCTGCCCAGGCAGATCTGCCCCACTTCTCTGGTGCTAATTCCTGCGTGGATGCTGGCAGTAATCCCCACTGCCAGCGTGTGCTCGTCCTGGGTGTAAGAATTCCAACGCACAAGGAGAATCCTCATGCAGTGTTGATGGGAGCCATCAGCAGCCCTGCCAGCTCGGTCACGGGAACACCGGGCTCTCCTCCCTGGGGACAGAGCCAGGCAGGCCAGCAGCCTGCTGTGACACGTTGCTTTCCACCCCATCCTTGTCAGGCTGAGGGACAGCACTGCCCCTCGTCCCCAGGAAATCCCAAGTGATGTGGACCCGCCGAGGGGCCGTGGCTCTCTCTGTCGCTGTTTGCTGACCAGGGGGCAAACGTGTTTAAATCTGGAGGGTGCTGCAGCCCCCGAGCAGAAGCTGGGAGCAGGACAATGTGCACGTGTGGGTTATTTACAGCAGCTGCCATACAAACTGTTCCTGGCACAGAGGCGCCTGTTAACAGTCATTCCTGTCCAGCCTCTGCTGCTGCTGCAGGTACCGGCCCCTCGGCTCCCTGCGCACACATGGGGCTTGTTTTGGGGTGGAAAAATCCAGCCCTTGGGATGAGCAGTGAAGAGAGAGCGATGCAGGAGGGGCTGATCTCCCTCCCCACGGCCTGGGTTTTAGCTGGAGGCCAGGTACGGCTGTGGGGACACAGGTCACAGGAGGGAAGGCTGGAACGTGTCAGGATCACATCATGCAGGGGAGGCAATGGAGCAGCACAACTTGGGAGCTCTCTGATTTCAACCAAAAATGACATTAAAAAAAAGGAATTACTTCTCCTGCACAGCTGAGGGGGAAGGGGGGGGGGCTGGGACAAGAGTTAAAAATAGGTTAAAAATAGCAGGAAGGCCCAAGTGGAAAGTTTCTGTAACATCACAAGTCAGGCATTTGGTGCTTACCCACCCTGACAGCCGGAGCCCGTGCCAGCGCCCTCTGCGGCCCTCAGCCCTTTCCCACTGACCTCCCGGCAGCTTCTCACACGGCTCCACCAGCTCCCATTAACCCTTTGGCTCCAGACACAGGATTTGCTTCCCTAAAGAGGAAAATCAGATGGAAGCTGCCCTTGGTCTGGGAGCGTTTGGATGTGCAGCAGCACGGGGCCCTATCTGCCCTCCCTGTGTCTCCATCCCCAGCTGCATCTCAGCGTCCCCTCGTTGCAATCCTCTTGCCCCAAAGGGCCATGGGTGCATTTCAGCAGCAGCCTCTGGCCCTGCACTGGGACCCTCTGGATGCACCGTTTGTCCTGGATGGGACAGAGATGGATGAGCAGAGCTCGGAGCCAGCCCAGCTCCCTGCACATGGCCTGTCTCTGCGAGAAAACAGATGTACCTGCTGCTCCCAACGGCTCTCTGCTGCTGTTTGTCCATTGGGATTGACACTGAGGGAGGCTCGCTTCATTCCTTCTCCCTCTCGGAGCCCTGGGGTTAAGCCTGCCTCTGCTGCTCTGGGAAGCAGCAAGTTCACAGCCTGCTTTGCAAAGGGCTTGGTTGCAAGTATGGCTGCAACGCCAGTATGTAGAGCAGGGCTTGGGCTTGGCGCTGGTTTCCTTCCCAGGCAGAGGAGTCAGTACCTGGGGTAGACCATGATGAGTGCACTGGAAAGCAAAGTGGTGCTGGGGAGTGGAGGTCGGGCTGGGCACAGCAACCGTTGTCTGGTTTTAAAGAGGTTTTCTCCCTGCTCCTCCCTGCTTCCTTTGTTCTGTGTCCCAGAGCAAGCACCTGGGCCATCGCCATTGAAAACCAGTCCTGGACACTGGAAACACTGGAAAGGCAGAACAGCAAATGCGAGGCAGGCTTCCCTTCGCCTGGGACAGGATGTCTCTGAGCCCAGATCCGTCACCCCCTCCTGCCTGGGCCACGCAGGAGCTTCTCCTCCTCCTCCTCACACCGATCATGGCTCATTCCCACTCTTTACTTTGTCCTCCCCGTCCCCCAGGTGCGTGCTGGACACTGAGGTGGTCCTCAGCATCCCCACCGAGAAGACTCCACTCCTCTGCTATCACCAGGCTCCGCTTGCAGGTCCCTCACCCAGCGCTCAGTGCACCCAGGCTCCACCACAGCACCTCCCTTGCCACCAGTGCTGCACCCCAGCCCCGCTCAGCCGCCTCGGGCTCTCTCTACTGTGGGTTTAGGGCGCAGTAAAGGTGTTGCCATCATTCCTGCGCTGTGCTCATGGCTGCGGTCCCTCGGAAGGTGCATGGGGTGAGCCCTGGGAGCAGAGCTACTGGGGAGGGGTCAAAGCCAAAGGTGCCTCCCTATTGCTATGCTCTGCCCTTGAAGGGTGTCCTGGGACTGCCCCTGGTCCTGGCCAGCCACTGGGCTCAGATCAAACCAACTCTGGCTCTTGCCCTTGCCAAGCCAGCCTCCGGCTCTGCCTTCCCTCACTGGCTCTACAGACCCAAGGCTGGTTTCGGTCCGAAGGCTGCTCCCCGGGATCGAGGGGACGCGCCCCGGGGGATCCAACCCTTCTGCGGCATCGGGAGCCCCGCGGGGACCTCCGGGACCGGGCAGGGGACCGGGGCCGCTGCGGGCCAGGCTGTGACCGGCGGGGGAGGGACCGGCCGCGGGGAGCGGCTCCACCTCCCTGGTTTAAAGCCCGGGGCCGGGCGGCGGCGGCTCTGTCCCGAGGAAAGTTGTGTCCGTGCTGCCGGCGGCTCAGGCGGGCACCGGCGCCGGGAGCGGGACTGGCACCGGGAGTGACCCCAGCATCTGCAGTGACGCTGGGACCAGCACCGACACCGGCATCGACACCGGCACTGACAGAGGCCCCGCGCCCCGGTGCTCGGGCGGCCCTGGTCGCCGCCGATGACCCTGAACACGCAGCGCGGGAGCCACAGCCCGCTCCGCCGCAGGGCCAGCACCCCTGTGCCGCGGCCGGGGGTCTCCTGCCACCCGCAGCTGGAGCACCGCTCCTCCGAGCCGGGCGCCAGGGCCGCGGCCCCCCGCGGCAGTTGGTCCTCCGAGTCCTCGGGTTCCTCCGGCGCCTGGGAGCCGCTGTACCGCGTGGTGCTGCTGGGGGACCCCGGCGTGGGCAAGAGCAGCCTGGCCAGCCTCTTCGCCGGCGTCCAGGAGCGGGATCTGCTGGAGCAGCACGGAGGTGGGTGCCTGCAGGAGGTAACGGGCTGGTGGCGCGTGTCCAGCCCCACAACGGGCAAACCCCATCAGCGTGGAGCCGGCGGTGGCCATTGGCACCGATTGGGCTCTCCCGGTGTCTTGCAGAGGCCGCCTATGAGCGCACGCTGTGTGTAGACGGTGAGGAGACCACGCTGCTCGTGATGGACACGTGGGAGCCGGAGCAGCGGGTATGGCCGGGGATGGGCACCGCTGCGCCCCTGGGACGTGCCCAGGGGATGCCATACAGGCCGAGCCACTGCTTTGGAGCCTCTCTGGGGCCTCCCTGCCGTGTCCTTGGCTCTCGCTGCTTGCTGCCCTTGCAGCAGAGCTGGGGAACACGCTGGGCAAGACAGGGGCTGGGGTTGCATCTGGGCAAGACAGGGGCTGGGGTCGCATCTCTGAGCTGCTCTTTGCCCACCTTTCCCATCATGTGCACTGTGGGGTGGGCACAAGGAGCCCCTCGCGCGAGGGTTGGGCCGGGAGGGAGAAGGGATTGCAGGGAAGGAACGTGGTGCCAGCCCGTTTGAAACGAATGGAAATGGTTTGGGACTGAGGCTGAAGGAGCCAACTGAGCAAATCCACGTGAGCCGGTGCTGCCAGCCAGGGCACGTGCTTTAACCGGCAGAGCGGTGGCCCCGGGAGCCTGGCACGGGGCATCCCTCCCGCCCAGCGCACGGAGGCACCTCCCGGGCAGAAATGCCACCACCACTGTCTTTGCCTCCCTCAAAACACCCCTTTGCCCCGCTCCGTGCTGCATTCCTGCGGGTGTCACCGGTCCCTGCGACTGGGGCTGGAGCCAAACTGAGCCCACGGCCCCGGTTTGTTGTTGGGAGAGGAGGAAACGCTCAAACACCCCCCAAAATCAGAAGATTTTAATCTGTGCTTTATTAATGGGGTCGCAGGTCCGCTCTCCATGGTGTAGGGGCTGGTGGGGTGCGCTGGCAGGTCCCATGGGTACTGGGGCGCTGCCAGCAGCCCCCGCAGAGCTGTGACATGTCACTCCCCATATGGTGGCAGGGCAAGGGGAGCCAGTGCCGCAGCCAGTGCCTGCAGGTCGGGAACGCCTATGTCATCGTCTACTCCATCACGGACCGAGGCAGCTTCGAGAGCGCCTCGGAGCTGCGCATCCAACTGCGCCGCGCTCGGCAGCCCGAGGACATCCCCATCATCCTGGTGGGCAACAAAAGCGACCTGGTGCGGAGCCGCGAAGTCTCCATTGAAGGTGAGCGGGGCTGGGGGGTCCCTCTGCATCCCCCTGTGGCTGCCCCCTCGTCCCAGCCGTGCGGCAGCGCTCGGGGTGCCAGCGGGGCCACGTCCCCTCCTTGCCCTTCCCTTGCAGAGGGCCGTGCGTGCGCTGCCGTGTTCGACTGCAAGTTCATCGAGACATCGGCGGCTCTGCAGCACAACGTGGCCGAGCTCTTCGAGGGGGTGGTGCGGCAGCTCCGCCTGCGCCGAGGGGGCAAGGAGCCCCACACGCGCCCTGCGCAGCGGCACAGGCGCAAGGAGAGCCTCACCAAGAGAGCCCGGCGCTTCCTCGACAGGCTGGTGGCCAGGAACAGCAGCAAGGTGGCCCTCAAGTTCCGCTCCAAGTCCTGCCACGACCTGTCTGTGCTCTGAGAGCCGCCGGTGCCTGCCCAGCGCTCCGCACACCCAGGCTGGGACTGCCCTCTCCACCAGCAGCGTGGCCGGTGGCTCCGTGGAGAGCCCAGATAGGACCAGAGCGATGCTGGGGATGTGGAGCTGGTTTAACCGGTGCTGAGGGATGCTCTGGATCCAGCCACGTCCCCTCCAGGAACAGAGACAAGTGGGGCCGGATCCCCTGGGCTGCGCTCATGGAGCAGAGGGTGGGATCCTGGGTTACAGCTGCTCCTGGGCAGCGGAGGTGAGGGGTGGCCATGCCCTGGGAGCGTGGCAGGTCCTGCTCGCGGTGCCCATCCTTCACAGGACAGCAGGGAGGACACAGGACACGGTGAGGGCACCATGGTGGTGGCAACATCGAGGACATCCTGGAGCCTGGCTGGGGAGAGGGACCAGGGGAGCCCCGGCAGCATCGCCCGGGGCTCTGTCCCGCATCCTCCTGGCACTGGTGGTTCTCAGAGCGAGGTTTTTCTGCTGTGTCTGTACTGGTGCAACGGGGAAAAACCTCGATCTGCAGAATAAACCACTCCGGCGGGGGGGGGTGGGGGGGGCTGGTCCCTGCTGCGGGGAGCTGCATCCTTGAGCCGTGTGGATGGATTCAAGCCCAGCTCCTTGCCAGTGGCTTGGGACCCGCCAGGCACCCGGTAGCTCCAGCAGCGGCGGGCAGGGGCCGGGAGGGCTGCAGGGGCCGCGGCGCTGCCGCTCTGGGCCGGGACGTGCCGGGCTACAGCGAGCAGCGGTGACCCCAGGGGCCCCGGGGGCTGCTCCTGGGACGCCGCGGGGTAACCGGTGACCTCCGCAGCCCCGGCCCGGAGCCAGAAGGGAGCAGGGAGCGGGGGTCGGGTCAGGAGTTTCCGTTCGCTCTGCGGCTCGAGCGTAGGGAGCCGCTGGTTGGGGCTGGTCAAAGCGGGGACAGCGGGGCAGGGGGCCCCCGAGCCATCGGTGATGGTGGCTTTGTTCCAGGGCATCCCTGCCCCGCGCACCGCCCCGGGTCCCGGTGCCGCCGGTCACACGGCGTTGCCGCGCCGGGGCTGAGGGGTCCCGATGCCGCTGCGGCTCCCGCAGCTGCAGCCGGCGATTCCCTGCGGCAGGAGGCGCGGGGGGGCCGCGGGATGGAAACTTGGCAGCGGGAGGAGAGGGGAGTGGAAAGAATGAGCTCAAACCCAGAAAAATGCGGCCGCGCCGGAGGGTGGGAGGAGAGGCCGAGGGGGGCCGTGGAGAGGCGCTGGGAAAGGATGGGAGGAAGGAAGGAGGAGGCGCTGCGGGGGCCAGGGCTGCCCGTGACCCCCGATGTGGCCCATATCTGGGGCAGGCAGTGCCGGGCTTGGGGGCTGCAGCCCCTCCAGCGGGAGCTCAGGGGCTGCCCCAGTGCCACCACCCCAATGCCACCACCCCTGTGTGACCCATCCGTTGACCTCAGTGTGATCTCCCCCAGACCCATCTGCTCCCCGGTGCCATTCCCAGTGGTGCCATTGGTCCCAGTGCCACCGGTCCTGCTGCTCAGCACCTTCCTGGGACACGGTACCCCATAGGCTCTGGACACACAACTGTCTGATGTCCTCAGTCCATCCCATCCCAGGGCAAAACCCATTCCCTGCTGGCAGAGCCCTGAGCACCGGTGCTGAGCCAGCTGCCAGCCCCGCACTGGTGGGTGCCATGGTTGGACCCCAGCACACACGGAGATGGGCGATGGTCCCATTATGGCCCCATCCTCCTCCAGCCCCCTCACCCCATTCTCCCCCCCCTGCCCTGGAGCACCCATCCCGTTATGCAGCGCTCCCATGGGGAGCAGCGGTGACAGCAGCAGGAGGAGATCCCGTCCCGGAGCCCTGCCCGGAGCCCATGGCGGGCAGTGGGGCGGGAGCACGGGGTGAGCCCGGCCGCGCTGCCTGCCCCTGCCCGGCCACCTCCTCTGTGGGGAACGGGCAGCGCCGCTGGCAGGGATCCAGGGGGGCTCTGCCCTCGCATGGGGCTGGGGGCTGTGAATCATCTGCTCCACGGACAGAAGAGTTGGGAGGAAAAAGGGGAAATGAATTGAACCAATAAATGAAGCCTTGTTCTGTACCGCGTGCTGCTCTGTGCCCCTCGCACCCAGCGAGGGCAATGGGGCTGCACGGCACAGGGGAGCAGGAGGAGGAGGAGGGGGGGGGCTCAGGATGCAGCCGGGCTGAGGGTGGCGTGGGGGGGAGGGAATTTTTGTGAGGAAAACACCCATTCCAGCCAATTTTCCATCAGATCCTGGCCCCAGCCCAGCAGCAGCAGAGGGGATCCCTGCTGTTTGGGAAGCATCCTTATGGAGGGGCTCTTCACCGAGGGAGGCCATGGGGATGCTGGTAGTGCCCGCAGGACACAAGGCAGAAGCTCTTCCCGGTGAGGGTACTGAGGCGCTGGCACAGGGTGCCCAGAGAAGCTGTGGCTGCCCCATCCCTGGCAGTGCTCAAGGCCAGGTTGGACACAGGGGCTTGCAGCAAGCTGCTCCAGTGGGAGGGGTCCCTGGATGGAGCTGGATGCGCTTTAAGCTCCCTTCATCCCAAACCGCACCGGGATGCTGCGATCCATGGATGGTACCCGGGGTACCCCCGGGGCCGGGGCGGTCTCCTAGCAACGCGGAGCGGGATGCTGGGGGCGTGGTCTCGGCGGTGACGCAACTTCCGGCCGCTGAGAGGACGTGTCCCTCCGGAAGCGCGGCGCCATGGAGGAGGCCGCGGCGCACAACGGCAGCGCCGGGCCCGGGCCCGCCCGCCCGCCCGCCACCCCCGAGGGCATGGCGCTGGCCTACGGCAGCCTGGTGCTCATGGCGCTGCTGCCCATCTTCTTCGGGGCGCTGCGCTCCGTCAGCTGCGCCAAGAGCAAGGTACCGCGGGGCCGCCCCGCCACCCCCCGCTGCCCGTAGGCCTCGTCCCGCCGCCGCTCCCGGTCCCCGTCTTCCCCCCCCCCACAACCGGCAAAGACCCGCGCCCCGCTGGGTCTCTTGGGGGGGATGCCCCGGGGCTTCTCCAGCCCCGTCCTCGCTGCCCCGGTGAATCCAAGCGCTGCCAAGCTCCCAGCCTGCCCCTGGAGATGCTGCGGTGGGGATTGGGTTGGGGGGCGGGGAGCTGTGGGTCTGCTCCCCCGCCCCGCAGCACCGGGGCTGGTCCCGGCGGTGCTGCCGCCGCTCCTGCCCGCAGCCCCCGTCCCTGCCTCCCGCTGCGCTGCTCTCGCCTGGCTCCCGTAGCACCTGGGACCTGAAGTGCACCGGAGATGCTCAGGAGAGGGGCTGCTTTGCCCGGTCTGGTTTAGTGCTCGTCCTTAAAGGCTCCTGGGCACAAGGAGCATCCCTGGAGCGAGGTGAGGGGTAAGAGGGTGGCTGGAGAGGAGCATTGCTCAGAGGTGATGGGTAGGTGGGAGCCCAGCAGCCCTCTGGGCAGGGGGAAGGAGCGACACCAGCACAGGGGTTGTATTTTCCCTTCTCCAAGAGGACGTAAGCAGTAAATGGTGGCAGCCCCTGGAAGGCTGCGGGTGGGCTTTGCTTTTCCACCTCACGCTCTGCCTGTGTCACGGCCCCACCTCCGGGAAGGATCCCGAAGCCACCCCAGTCCCTGCTCATTGCGTGCATTCACCTCCTGCTTGGGTATGAAGGCAGAACAGGGTCTGAGCCTCTCCTGTCCTCCCCTTCCCTCCCCAGAACTCCTCGGAGATGCCAGAGACCATTACCAGCCGTGATGCTGCTCGCTTCCCCATCGTTGCCAGTTGCACCCTTCTGGGGCTCTACCTCTTCTTTAAAGTAAGTGAGAACATCGGCAGGGCCTGGCATGTCCCAGGGCTGGGGCAGGAGCGCCCGGAGTGGGGCTGACTCCAGTTTTGGCCCTCAGTGTTGGGACAGAGAACGTGTGAGGCTGCCCAGCTTGAGCTGCTCAGGGTCCCCGTGTGGGAGGCCATCGGGTCTCACCTGAATCATCCCAGCTCGGGGGAGCTGGAGCCTGCTTGTGCACACATTGGCTCTGGAGAGCAGCCGAGGGGTGAGGGCACCCCTGAGCTCCGCCTGTCCCTGGGGCCTGACTGAAACCGGAGGGTGCTGGGGACCACCGAGTGTCAAACTGAGGGTGCTGAGGCGCTGGCACAGGGTGCCCAGAGAAGCTGTGGCTGCCCCATCCCTGGCAGTGTTCAAGGCCAGGTTGGACACAGGGGCTTGGAGCAAGCTGCTCCAGTGGGAGGGGTCCCTGCCCGTGGCAGGGGTTGGAGCTGGAGGAGCTTTAAGGTCCCTTCCACCCCAGCCCATTCCATGGCTCTATGAAGTGCTGCTTTTTCCATGTTATGCTTCCAGAGCTGTCTTGTTGGCGCTCCAGCTTCCAGCCCTGCTGTCCTGGGCTGCCTGCGGGGTGCTGGGATGCTCCTGCCTGGCCATTAGGAGAGGTTTAGGCTGCAAGGTTGGGAATGCTGCAGTTACCACACAGCAGCCAACTGCTGCTTGCTCCTGGATGGGATGAGACAGCAGGAAGAGGAGTGCTGGATGTGCAGCAGGGCCCTGCTGAATGATGAGCAGCTCTGCCCGTTTAATACCTGCAGCCATGAGCCCCCCTGTTCCACCCCCTCTGCCAGGAGAGCTGGGGTCCCCTGTGCTGGGCTGTCGGGGTGGGATTCAGTGTGTGTTGGGGGCAGGACTTCTATTGACCCCGGGGGTACTGCTGCTCCCCTCTGCTGGGGCAGCCCCCCAGGAGCAGTGCTGTGCCTCGCTCCCTGCCCCAGCTCTGCAAGGGGACACATGCAGGAAGGCTCTGTCCTCCTTTCTGCCACACAGGAGTTATTTTTTGACCCAAGCAGCATGCCAGCTCACAGGCCCAGTGCTTGTTCTGTGAGCACACGGCTATTTCCAACTCATCTCCCATCAGCGGTGCAGGAATTTGGGTTATTCCAGCTATTCTTCTCCTCTCCCTGGAGCACTGGCACAGCAGCTGCCAGGAGGAAACAGTGCAGTGCTGTAGGTGGGGAGGACACTGCGGTTATGAACCCCCTCTCTGGATTTGCCTTGCAGATATTCTCTCAAGAGTACATCAACCTTCTGCTTTCCATGTATTTCTTCGTGCTGGGGATCCTCGCCCTGTCCCACACCATCAGGTACAGCAGAGGGGAGGCTGTGAATGAGATGGGTGTTTGAGGCCGCCCCATTGCCCTGCAGCTCTTGGGGTGTTGTCCCTTGGTGGTGTGACCCCTTCCTCGTGGGGGAACCAAAGTCTCAGGGGTCCCAGTAACCCAGTACCCTGCACAGCATCACCTGGGGAGCTGCTGGAGGTGTAGGTGGCCACATCATGGGGCAAGGCCAGCTCATCCTGAGTTGCTGCTGTGGCTTGGCACAGTCCTCGCTGCCCTGTGCAGGGTGAGCTCCCTGGTACCAGTGCTACTGGGATGGCTGAAGCAGCAGCTGGAGGTCGCAGTGACATCCCCTGCCTCTCACCCTGATGCTTGGCATTAGGTGTTGAAAGCTCCAGCTGTAACAGTAACTGAAACAGTCAAACTGGCTTCCTGTTTCCTGAGCTCCAGGGTGTTGGGGACCCACTGCTTTCCCTTGGCTGGTGCTGGGC